GGTCGAAATTTTGAATTTCGATATCTCAGCTCTGGAAGGGTTTAGAGCCTCCATTTTTTGCACTCAGGTCAAAGTCTCACAGCCCTCTATCATAATTCAGAGTTTTGAGACGATTGGAGAAACTTAATTTTTCGCCCGAAAACGAAAAAAAACAAAAGGGGTAACACTGTCGTTTTTTTTTTTCGGGTCGAAATTTTGAATTTCGATATCTCAGCTCTGGAAGGGTCTAGAGCCTCCATTTTTGCAGTCAGGTCAAAGTTTCGTGGCCCTCTATCAGAATCCAGAGTTTTGAGAGGATTGGAGAAACTTAATTTTTCGCCCGAAAATGAAAAAAAAAACGAAAGGGTAACACTGTCGGTTTTTTTTAGAGTCGAAATTTTTGAATTTCGATATCTCAGCTCTGGAAGGGTCTAGAGCCTCCATTTTTGCACTCAGGTCAAAGTTTCGTGGCCCTCTATCAGAATCCAGAGTTTTGGGAAGATTGGAGAAACTTAATTTTTCGCCCGAAAATGAAAAAAAACGAAAGGGGTAACACTGTCGTTTTTTTTTTCGAGTCGAAATTTGAATTTCGATATCTCAGCTCTGGAAGGGTCTAGAGCCTCCATTTTTGCACTCAGTCAAAGTCTCACAGCCCTCTATCAGAATCCAGAGTTTTGAGACGATTGGAGAAACTTAATTTTTCGCCCGAAATGAAAAAAAATGAAAGGGGTAACACTGTCGTTTTTTTTTTTCGGGTCGAAATTTTGAATTTCGATATCTCAGCTCTGGAAGGGTCTAGAGCCTCCATTTTTGCACTCAGGTCAAAGTTTCGTGGCCCTCTATCAGAATCCAGAGTTTTGGGAAGATTGGAGAAACTTAATTTTTCGCCCGAAAATGAAAAAAAACGAAAGGGGTAACACTGTCGTTTTTTTTTTCGAGTCGAAATTTTGAATTTCGATATCTCAGCTCTGGAAGGGTCTAGAGCCTCCATTTTTGCACTCAGGTCAAAGTTTCGTGGCCCTCTATCAGAATCCAGAGTTTTGGGAAGATTGGAGAAACTTAATTTTTCGCCCGAAAATGAAAAAAAATGAAAGGGTAACACTGTCGTTTTTTTTTCGGGTCGAAATTTTGAATTTCGATATCTCAGCTCTGGAAGGGTCTAGAGCCTCCATTTTTGCACTCAGGTCAAAGTCTCACAGCCCTCTATCATAATCCAGAGTTTTGAGAAGATTGGAGAAACTTAATTTTTCGCCCGAAAATGAAAAAAAATGAAAGGGGTAACACTGTCGTTTTTTTTTTTCGGGTCGACATTTTGAATTTCGATATCTCAGCTCTGGAAGGGTCTAGAGCCTCCATTTTTGCACTCAGGTCAAAGTCTCACAGCCCTCTATCATAATTCAGAGTTTTGAGACGATTGGAGAAACTTAATTTTTTGCCCGAAAAAAAAAAAACAAAACGAAAGGGGTAACACTGTCGTTTTTTTTTGGGGGGGGGGTCGAAATTTTAAGTTTTTCTGATCTCTGAACAGTGTTACCCCTTTCGTTTTTTTTTTGTGCGAAAAAATACGTTTCTCCAATCTTCTTGAAACTCTGGATTCTGATAGAGGACCATGGGACGTAGACCTGAGTGCAAAAATGGAGGCTCTAGACCCTTCCAGAGTTGAGATATTTATAATGGCATAAATGCTACGTTGCTATCTCAAAATCTCAGCTCTGGAAGGGTCTAGAGCCTCCATTTTTGCACTCAGGTCTACGTCCCATGGACCTCTATCAGAATCCAGAGTTTCAAGAAGATCAGAGAAACTCAAAATTTCGACCCCAAAATAAAAAAACGACAATGTTACCCCTTTGTGCGAAAAAATAAGTTTCTCCAATCTTCTTGAAACTCTGGATTCTGATAGAGGACCATGGGACATAGACCTGAGTGCAAAAATGGAGGCTCTAGACCCTTCCAGAGTTGAGATATTGAGATATATTGAGATAGCACGTAGCATTTATGCCATTATAAATATCTCAATATCTCAACTCTAGAAGGGTCTAGAGCCTCCATTTTTGCACTCAGTTCTAAGTCCCATGGACCTCTATCAGAATCCAGAGTTTCAAGAAGATTTCAAGAAGAACTTATTTTTTTCGCACAAAAAAAAAAAAAAAAACGAAAGTGGTAACACTGTCGAAATTTTGAGTTTCTCTGAAAGTGAACCTGAGTGCAAAAATGGAGGCTCTATGGCAACCAAACGTCACTGGTGAGACAAACGTGCAACGGACAGACGGTCAGATTACGTTTTGGCAGGGGAAAAACTGATCAGAAAATGTAACAGAAGATGTAGAAATGTAGTGGAGTAGAAAGTATAATAATTGTTGCAAAATGTAACGAAGTAAAAGTAAAAAGTATGCGCTATTTATTCTACTTAAGTAAAGTAAAGATACGTGAAAAAAGTACTTAAGTACAGTAACAAAGTATTTGTACTTCATTACATTCCACCACTGCATACTGGCATAAACAGAGATTTCTATCGGTGTGCATCATATGACTAAACACTTAATTGTTTTCAAATACTTCCGGTTTTACACTACAATGCCATTTTCAAATGTATCCACTTGGGAAAGCATTTTCAAAAGGTTTTCGCAGGACAAAAACAACATCTATGTGTACGGAAGGCTAAAACTTAGAGAAAAATATACGTTTTCAAATGTATCCGGATTAGTATATTAGTGCCTCAGAGTCTATTTTTATGTTTTCTGCCATGTAGGATGATCTGAAGAAAAAAATGATGACTTTGAGGGCCAAGCATATGGAGACGTTAACTTCTAACGCTGCAGAGATCAGTGCAGTTGAAAAAAGCATCTATGAGAACAGGGTCATGCTTGAGCAAGTTCAGATGGAAAACAGTCGTCTGCATATGGTGAAAACTTGCCCTAATCAGCACAGACGCATCAGCACATCGCAAGAAATGTTTTTCCAACAGTGCTTTCTAACAACTCTGTACTTGCAGTGCATTGAACAAATGAAGGAGGAAATATTGGATGCAGAGAAAGACAAGGAAAAGTATATGCAGGAGGCCAAGTGGATGACGGAGGGAAAGCAGTCCCTCTTTAGTGAGTCTTTTGACAAGCACTTAGCCATTTTAAAGTAGTGTACTCTTAGTATAATGATCCTGGACCAATCATGTGTCTTTTCCATCCCTAGAGAGTCTAATAGACACCTGGACCACAGATATGCTGCTTACTGAGGTACAAGCAAACAAGAAAAATATACAAATTAAGCTCAAACAGCGGCACTGTTGGTATGCTGTCGATTATTACTCGACTTCTCCCTCCATTTGTTACAAAAATACAAAATTGTGTTTGAAGTAATGCACTCAGAGTGAAAGACCGATGGAAGAGCTGAACATTCCTGCATTTAAGCTCTCATGTACACTGAAGGATACGGAGCCCCCCTAGTTTGGCAAAAAAAAAAAATAATAATAATTAATTATAACTTTCTCGTGGCCTCAAGATACTAATAGTAACTTGAGGCCTCAAGATATTAACTCGTGGCCTCAAGATACTAACTCATGGCCTCAAGATACTAACTCTATCTTGAGGCCACATGTTACTATCTTGAGGTCATGAGTTAATATCTTGAGGCCACAAGATAGTATCTTGAAGCCACAAAATAGTATCTTGAGGCCACGATTTACTATCTTGAGGCCACAAGATAGTTATAATTTTTTTTTTTTTTTTGCCAAAGTGGTTCTAGGGGGGCTTCGTAGAAGGATGGCAAAAGATACTGGAATGTTCCTTTAACTGACGAACTTGCATGTTTTATGTTGTGGCTATTGAAGTAAGTCTTTACTTTACTTTACAATACATGAAATAATCAGGAGTCTTTTATATTAGGAATCTGCAGATCAAGACCAGAAGATTGTGGAAAGCATATACAGTCTCATCGTAAGGATTCAAGAAAGAAAACGTCGCATCGGTGACATCAACAGCAGGCTGGAGAAAGAGTTAGTGGGTATGAATTCCATGTTCGAAAAGCCAAACTAGAAAAGCCAGGAAATAAACATTTACATTATATTAAATATTGAACAGCATTCTTAGAATCTAAACTTTTAGCTGATTTGAAATATATTAGAATTGAGTCTTACTAGAAACATGTATATTGATTATTAGTAAAAATTACTTTTCTCTGCATTAGTTTACATGAACTAACAATGAGCAAAATAGTTTTTACATTGATAATGATAGTTGACATAACCTGACATGTTATTTTCCATGACTCTGAAAAACACTTGCTTTAAATACTGTTAAAAAAATCACATCTATGCAAAAAAACTGTCACAATAATTTATTCAACAAGTCAAACACAGTTGACAAATGTTCATTTTCATTGATTTGATAGCCATGAATGTAACTCACCACCAACATGTAAAACATTACATATTCAATAAAACTGTTTAAAACATTAATGTCTCTAATCAGTTTGTTATATTCCACATACCTGTTGAACTTATAAATATACGTTTAAAAAATCTTTAGTCAAGTGGTGAGGATGCGAGTCTGAGAACATTGAAAACTACATAGAATTATTCCCACAATACAATGTGTGTGCAGACTTACATATTCAGCAGCCAAACATTCATAACATGCTAATATGATTTGTCAAGATATTCCTTTTATAGTGTTAAGCTATGATTTAACCGCACATGAACAGAAAGCGGAAATACATACAATTATATTTGGCACAAGAAAGTTTGTCATAGGAAAATGGTTAACATTACTTCAGGGCACTCAAATTCACAGACCAGCTGTTTCGTATATATCACACAAAACATACATTGTATATTACAGCAAATTGTTGATTTGTAACTATACTTGACAATAGATACAAATTTCAAATAATAATGAAATATATACTTAGGTTACAATCAATTTACCCCAAAAAAGCATATTCACAGATGTAACAGAAAATGTTATGGTAATATATCATGAGTAATAACTAAATGTTTTGTTTATGGCTTTTTGGCGTCCATGCCAAAGGTGTTACTAAATTAAACGTTGTTCCACGGCATCTGTGTGCCGTTCTAACGTGCAGGTTTGTGGAGAAGTTCTCTTACAAAGGAAGTGACATCAGTGTCCATTCCCACCCTCTGACAGAATTCTGTTCGGCTCCGTGAACCTGGCCGTTAGCAGGTAGAAGAGAGCGGGTCCGGGCACCAGAGCCAACAAAGGCAAATCCTGCCCCAGTTTATCCAGTCGGGATATGGAAATGATACCGTATGCATGGAGGAGCCAATGGCTAAAGAGAACCACGAGGCGTTTCTTCTTAGCCACAAGGTTTTTGAAAGACTGCAGGAGATAAACAACAAATATTCTATATATTTGTCCAAGAACATGAACTAAAAAGCACTGCGACATAAATAATAAACATATAGTGGATAAATATGTTTACCTGTATCTCTGAAGCTGACATGTAAACTGCCAACGTGACCAACGATAACACCAAAATAATATATGGAAATGCATAGTCTGAAAACATAAGAGGGAGATATAAAAACACAAATGTCAACTAGGTACATTTTCAAATGTTCATGAAAAAATGAAAAACACACTCACAAAGAAGTCCTCCTCCAACTGCCTGCAGGACAGTGAGGATGGGGAAGAAGTACAGCGCTGCGTAGATGCTCTTGAAACGATCCGTCTTGCCTAAGCCACATGCAATCTTCTTGACCAAAAGTGGCCGCAGAAGCATCATGAAAACAAGACAGAAGGCGTAGTAGATCAACACAATGGTGTACCTGAAAAAAAAACAACAACAAAAAACAGGGAATCAGAAAGAAATAGGGTTGTAACAATGTATCGTGTCACAATGTATTGCAAATTTGCGATAAAAAAACAAAACAAAACAGACATTCCAGCTCTGCCGGGAGTTCCGGGAGTCTCCCGTATATTTATAGCTTCTGCCTGATACCCTCAAATGATATTCAATGGGCTCTATGCACGGCGGTATTTCCGGTGAAGCATTAGGGATGCTCGATAACTTCCGCCGATCGTAGAGTCCAATGCAATAACGAGAATTTATATTGAATTTTATACTCCATGGTTATACTAAAGAAACGTTAGTCACAAAAACAGATAAAACAGACACCCCTTGTTGTGTTTATGCTTCTTTTTAAAATTATATTAAATAAATATAACTATATGTAAAATTACATCTAAACGTATGTACGTTTCATTTCAAAGACTGGAGGACAGTAAATTTTGAAGACTCTGCCATAATCCCGTTTTCCTCGGTTCTCCGGAATTTATGCGTGCATACAGCCCATATAACGAAAATCGGGCGAGTGTGGGAGAAGCCGTTTCTACCTGGCTGGGTGCGGGTGAACATGCGTTTTCGGTGATCCGATCACAAGTGGCCAGGCAAGACGCATTACCGTTTACACCAGGTACTAACACACGTTTCAAACCGAATAAATGAAATAAATGAAAATGAAATGTGTCTCCTGTGATTACTTGCCTTCGGAATCCGTTGAGACTGAATATAATTCTAATTATTTTAAATAAATAAGTTAAATACATTGCATATATTTAAAAAGTTGTAAATATTATATGTTAAGCAGTCAGTGAAAGTGGACATAACATAATGAACAGTACTGTCTTAAAGGGGCACTCCACCCATTTGCATTAAGCTTTCCATTGTTAGAAACCCAGTTATACTATTGAATGGTCGTGCAACACTCTCATTTTCCCCTGAGATGAGAGAAATCTGCTATTTTCCTTTTTCACTTCCTCCTACAATGACGCCAAAATCGTCATTTTACGTCATTGTTGGAGGAAGTGTAAGAGGGGGGATTTCTGGAAAAACTACAAGCACTAGATCCCACCCTTTCAAACCTGCCCATAGGGGGTTGGACCTAATGCGCTAACAGGCCAATCACAGATCAGTGCCAGTGCATCTGATTTCACCGCAGAAAAGGTTTGAAAATATGGACGAAGGTACTGAATACGCAGACGGATGCATTATGGAGGATTGGGATTACACATCTTTTTTGGAAGCTAAGCTAGCAGACTGTTGTTCTGTGGAGAAAGCTGAGTAGTAACTTTAGGTGTTACCATCCTCTTTTTGTCCGGGATTCAGCTTTTGCTTTCTGCAGTCGCCATGCATTGTTTAAGTTACAGCTTTTTTTTCAATCTAACTGAGTTCATTCTGATTGCTGAATCTGAATGTAGTATTTACATGAACGCTAAACAAGTGATCGGTTGATGTGGGTTTTAACATTGCTAAGAAAATTCCTACTCCTCTGTGAGAGATACGAGACTGGTAACTTGCGTCTCAGTTGCCGCTCATCGGTAATCACGCCACCGGCCTCGCGTTGTTCTCCACACAGCCTCGCCACAGTAAACATGACTCGCGTCGTTCTCCAGTCCACACGGCCCTCACTCGTCCCGCTCGCCACAGTAAACATGGTAAATGAAGACTGTAGAACACAAAAGCCAAATCCCGGACATTTTGGGCGATCTCGAAACGCATTTTCAGGCAGACGCATAACGGAGACTCGCTAGCCTAGACTTGTTGTTTACCTACTGCGCGTTTGCCGGTAGGCGTGGCCTCCTAGGGCAGCGAAGCAAGGAGATTCTGGGAGTTGTTGTCTTTCATCCACATAAGGCAAAAATACATTTTCAGTCTTTTCTCAGTCTAGAAAGCTTTAAATTCAAAAATAATTTTACATTTCTTCTACATAAATTACCCATTTTAAATACACATTCATCTTTCCAAAGGTGGAATGACCCTTTAACCGTTTATCATGTCTTTGAAAAAAAAACCAAAAAAACATTTGAACTATTTTGGCTTTGTTTAAAGTATCATGAGAGTATCGTGAGATCAGTATTGTATCAAACCAAATCTTGACATGAGTGTGCTGTTACACCTAGAGCTACACAAGTTATTAATCATTAAAAGATCGCAATCTCAATTCAAACACCCACACAATATTATTCCTAAGACCCCGTTTACACCTGGTATTAAAATGCGATCTGTATCCAGATAAGTTATCCGGATAATAAAAAACGCATGTTAATGCAAGGTGTAAACGCGTTGTGATCGGATCGTGATCGGATCTGCCTGACCACATCTGGAGGTAGTCTGGCTCGCATTGTGTCCGGATCTTTACTAGGTGTAAACGCAATCTGGTTGTTGAAACCACATATGTATATTTTACTCCTCCCAAAAATGCTAAAAAATAAACGAGTGAGAGCGTGTTATATAGGCTATATGTCATGTTATAGCCTAGTCAGATGCGACACGCGACACGCATCACCGCAGATGAGCAGCTGAGCGTCTATTCAACGTGCAAACATCGCAAATAAAAGTGAAAGTAAGTCACAGACGCAGTTAACACATCTTCAAGTAAAGAAACGAAATTATCTTACCAGGCCTGTTGCCACTCTCTCTTATTGATGTCTCTGATTTGGAAATTAGCTGATGATCAATAAAATGCCGCTCAGATCTGTTGCTTTTGGTGGCGTGCAATCCAATAAATCTGCATATAACGCAGGAGGTGAAGATCGGATTTATATCCGTTTTGCAAAAACACATTTATGTGGCCAGGTGTAAATGGAATCAGTACTTATTATCCGGATAACTTATCTGGATACAGATCGCATTTTAATACCAGGTGTAAACAGGGTCTAATGACAACAATTTGTCCATGTCTATTAAGCCCTCCACAAGTATGCCGCTGCCTCGGAGTAAGAGAGTGCAGTGGTCATGTATAGGAATGAAACAGCCTCACAAATAGCCATTCAGTATCATTATTTCTGTGACAATAATTCACATTAACACATAGGGCCGGGGTAAACGATTATTGACTAAACGATTAGTCGAGCGATTATTGTATCGATTAGTTGACTAATCTAACAACTAAATGGATGATTAATCCAAAAATTCTTTTTCTGTTGCTCGATTAATAAAAACCATAATGTTTCTCAAATAAATACCAAAAAATTCTTAATATACTTCATTAAACAACAGTTTTGCACAGCAAAAAATCTAAATCCCAACACAAAATAAAATACAATTATTTTACTGTTATACAAAATGAAAGGCCAGCTTGTTTAACTCGTTTACAGTACCAACATAACTCTTGTTCAAAAAAATGCAAAGTTGTAATGCAAAACCACCAAAGTGTGCAGAGCTCAAGCTACACGACACACTTCACAAAATTAAATTAATTTCGCCAATGTTAGTATTTGTTTTTGGCTCCTTCACGAGTGACAATGGTGTGCCTTCGTTTCAGATGGTCCCACACTGCTGTTGTGCTGGTGTGCTAACTCATGCCAACTCCATTTGGCAAAGAGCGCAAATAACGACACCTTTACGTTTGGGACTAAATTTGAAGGATTCCCATACCTTCGATGAATTTAGGGCAAGACTTTTTCTTTTGTTGGGGCTTTTTGCATGGCTTTGCTGGGAATTTTGTGAAGAGGTTGCTGTTTCGTCCTCCATTTTGCAATGTTTCGGTCTCCCACTTGTGTGTGGTGAGCTGTACCTCCGGGAACGGCGGGAAAAAAAAAGAAATAAAGAGGTGTCGACGCAAAAAAATGACGTTGGCGTAATTTTGACGTGCCGCTACAGGCCTATTGACACAGAAGTACTGTGATAAAAGTTTATAGTTCGGAAATAAACACTGATGTCTACAGTAGCGATCAAAATGTAAATCCCCCTTAAAAAGTAACTTGTTTCGAATAAAGATTGTATCAATTACACCATTATAACAGTAGGTGGCGATTTAATTGAATCATTGAGTCACTCATTCGGAGATTTGTTTAAAAACACTGATTCATCCAGTAATGAAGCAAATGAAGTTCAGACTGATTTAATAATTCAAATTAATTTAAAAAATGTGGACTGCAGCAATTTCGTCACAACCTCTAGTAAAGTATGTTATTGTATAGTTGTCTATTCAGAATTGTGATTTACCTCAAACAAACTGATTCTCAATCAGCTCTAGTTACACCCCTGGAAACCAACAGAAATAACTGGAGCCTCAAATCAAATTAAATGTAAAGGGCACTCACAGAGGGAACACGGCCTCCTGCGTGCAGTGCAGCGTGGTGACGTAGTCGGGACTGGGGTTATACAACATGGTGTACCAGTCAGAAAGCATCTTAACCTCACAGGAACGGATAGACAGCTGGCCGACGGGATCGTTGAGCAGCAGAGTCACTACGGCAGCTGCCGTGCACTCGAACAGGGCCGTGATATGCTGGAAAAGGGCACTGGAACTGGAGATGAGATTAGGAGAGCATCGGTTAGTTTGGAAAGATGCATTATCAAAGTTTAAGGCATAGCTTTGCAAAATAAAATCAGATCCACACAATAATATTGCCTCTAATAAGTATATCTTACTATTGTTTAGCACAAAAGATACCTTTTCTTCCCAGAATACCACTCAATGAAGAACCAGTGCAGGACCAGAGGCAGCATCGCCATGAAGCCCAGGTACAGCCAGTCATACAGCTCAGGAGACCCAGTGCATTTCATGCAGATCTTCTCTAGGTTTGTCCTTTGGCCACGAGGACAGACCTTTATGATGAGAATGGTAAAGGTTATAAACAGTCCGCAAAACACCACTAGCTGTGCAATCATACTGTACATATCAGTACAAGCAGAACTGTTCTCGGATGACCAGGTGACAGCGGTTGCCGTTAGGAATAACTCATGGACTTACAAATAAATAAAGGTAACACTTTCCAAAAAGGTCTCATTTCTATTATCTAACACATGTTTTCAATATTTTAGATCCCATGGACCCCTAAATATGACCATCCTTGTGTGAAAAAGGTATATATCTTTTATAAACACCTAATTTATATACTAGAAATTGTATATTATAAATCTAAAAAACAAGTTACATTATCATTTTTTTTTCTACTCACTAATAAGAATACTGTTAATGTATTATTTATTTTAATAATAGTCATTATGCTTATTTTATTATTTATTTAAAACTGTTTTTTTCTAAACTTTTCAATGGACCCTCTGTTACTCCCTTGTGACCCTAGTTTTAAAAAACCCTCTAGCAAAGAAACAACGAGCAATAATATTATAAATATTGGTTAATTAATGCTAGACTAGTTAATAGAAATACAATTTTTTATTGTTTGTGTTAGTTCAAGTGCATCAACTAATATTTACAGACACAAATTTTGTTTTGATTTCATAACATCGATCTATAAATTACAGGAACGTTTGTCTGTTTTTCGCATAAATAAATCGGTAAAAAAAGCACTTTTAGAAGGTTGTGGTTTAAAAATAAACATTCTGACAAACACTCAGTCAGCTAAACATTAAATCAGTTTACTGTACAATCACAGCAAATGTTCAGAGACATTTTTATGTATTATTTAATGTAACTACACGATTCAAGGAGCAGGCTACACAGTGAACTCTGAGAAAACGCAACGCTTGAGCTAACAGTTTGTGAATAGGCTACTACAAATAATGGCTGTGAATAAAACATAATATTTAGAAGAAGTAAACAGTGTAGCTGACTAAATATTTAGCTGACAGAGTGTTTGTCAGAATGTTTATTTTTAAACCACAGCATTCTGACATTAGAGGGTTGTGGTTTAAAAAAATAAACATTCTGACTTAATATTTAGCTGACGGTGTTTGTCAGAATGTTTATTTTTCAACCACAACCTTCTAAGCCCTTCTTTTACTGATATATGTAACAAGATCTTTTGCATTTCTAATCCAAACAATGTCAAACTCGACACTGCACTTACTCGTGCCTGTAGCACTTACTCGTGCCTGTAGCAAGACACCTGTCAAGTTTGAAACAGTCACAGACAGACTGACAAACACACAGACAGACACACGTTCCTGTAATTTATAGATAGATGAGCACTCAAACACACTAAACCACCAATTACTAAAAAAAAAAAAAAAAACACAAACAAAAAACGATTTTGCACAGGCACTTTGCACAAGTTAACATTAAGTTTAAAAAAGCTGTAGAAGTATAATATTCAGTGTAAGTGCATGTTAACTCATTTAGTTAAAGTCCCCCTGAAGTAGTCCTTTTATCTCTTAAAAATCATCTTTGGTCACCCAAAAATTATTCACGCCTTAAAATAGCTTGAATGTAACTCTACACCCCTGCTTTGTTTCGTGTGCAGTTCTATGAATATGCTTATTATCCCTGTATCCACACCAGCTCAGAGATCCACACATTGACGTGATTGGTTACAAGGTAGTTTGTGACGTCAGAAACACCAGCGATTTCAAACCACGTTTTTTGAGACTCAAGCTACGTGCCAATAGGCTACATGCACGCATAAGTTCCGCATTTGATGCTCTTCAGTTTCCCATTGGGGAGATTTAAAGCGGAAGATTACTGAGAAAAATGGGATTATGGCAGAGTCTTCAGTCTTTGAAACTAAACTTTAATATGTTTAGATGTAATTTTATATATAGTTATGTTTATTTAATATAATAAACAAAGAAAGCATAACAAAACGAGGGGTGTCTGCTTTATCTGTTTATTTTAACTGTGACGAGATGATTGACAGGGCAGTTTACGGTGACAGGATGGATGCACGTAACAGATCTGTCCGAAGATCTGACGAAATGGAATGTCCCAAAGCTTGCCTACTCTACTTTTTCTTTACAAAAAGAGTACTTTTAGGGAGTAGTACAAGTAGGCGAATTGGGACTGGGCCTCTGTCTTTGGTTCCCTGCATTTTTAAGGAGAAAATAAGTTACTCAGCAAAGGTGTTGACGGATGCAGTTGTACATGGATTGTCTTAAAGCATATTAAAAACACCACATATACATATAAACAACATTAAAAACTTGATTTTCACCAAAGGGAGTATTTAAGTAATGTTACTAAATGAAACCTTAATGCAGTGTTACAGAAATACTCCAGCGTGAACTAGTAAAATGCACATTAGTGTGCATAATATATACACAGCTGTGCTGTCAGTACGACATTTTGCATGAGCACACATTGTAATCAGGCAGTTACACAATTTGTGCGTTTTATTCGGACAGATTACCGTTAACCTTACATGAATATGATGCACTTACCCCACAATCTCCTTCAATAGATTCATTTATGATGGTCCTTCCACAGTACAGCCCAGGACAAGTGGAGCTCATTGATACAGCTGCATTACATCCACAAAAACATCATTAAAAAAAACACCCTTTAATTCAAAATATAGACATGTAACGTTAATTAGCAGTGCTGTTGTGTTATGGCAGTAAACTAGCGCTTCTATCAACAGCAGAAAACACTTCAAAATGATATTGTAATTAGTTGTTTGCAATAAATCTTTTTCGTTTTAACATACCCATGTCATATGCAGCATTACAAAGCTATCGATAGGCCCAGTTTGTTGGATAGTGATTTTAAACCGCAACGATCTGAACGACGCAACAGAAACCGGAAGAATAAACACACTCTTCTTCTTCGAGTGAATGTGGGACGTGTTGCTAAAGGTGAATTGTTCGACAGCGCCACTCACTGGTCAGATGTACTCTAGAATAGAAGGTGTGTGGAGTAGATGTGTGTACATGCATTTGACATTCATTCAGATCCATGATAGGCCTATATACAGTCAAACCAAAAATGATTCAGACAACAGATATAATATTTGTTTGTTTTTGGGGTTTTTTTTTGTTTTTGTTTTTTGCTAGTGGGTGGAGGACACTACAGTTCATGTATGTATGTGAGGATAGCTAAAGAAAGAAACCTGTGACATATACCCAAAGATTCTTCATACAGTGTGGACCAGTAAAATGTATAAAACTTAGGGACCAAAAATTATTCAGATACTTTGACCTGACTATGTTTTCTTTGAGTGCAATTACGTATTTAATTGTGTACTTAGATTTACAGTAACAGCTTAGAGCTATTCAACATAATTCATTTGAGATAGTCTAACAGAAGGATGCAAAAACCAGTGAAATTTTTTTTTTTTACCATTTTCTAAACTATAGTGAATAAACTGTGATAATAATGTTGACGGTGTCTGAATACGTTGCCAGTTTGACTGTTATATGCATCACCATTATTTAATCCATGACACACTGGCACTGCAACAGTATTTCTTAAGTGGAATGATTGTGTCTTTCACTTATTTATAATAGAATTTTAATATTGAAAGGGTTCAACCATCTTCAATGGCTGTTTATAAAAACACACCCAAAATGCAAGACACGGACATCGAGAGAGAGAGAGAAGACAGACAGACAGACAGACAGACAGACAGACAGACAGAATAAAGCACAACAACTGAAACCAATCATCATAAGAAAGTGCGTAATTCAGCTGGAAAAAAGTCTGGTCCGTTGTCATAGCAACGGCTTCAAACCAACGTCACGGGGAGGTGCGTCTGTAGTAGGGTCTTAGAAATAAAGCATGTAGAGCAGCGATAACATCGAAACTGTCCTAAAAATGGGCTGGCGTTCGTCAAGCACAACGGGGCAGAAAAAAAATATTAAATACCTTTTAAAGCTGGTTATTCAAGTTTCACTGTGTCACAATTTATTGAAGTGTATACTTTCTAGGACGCTACTGCTGTTTTTGTTTATTAGGCAGAATCAGTAACGTTAGTCGTAGACTGGTATGCAAGTAAATTAACCCTAATTCGTCTTAACAATGATTGTTTTTATTCAATTGAGAATTTGATTCAATCAGGTTGACATGTTAGCTCCCAACAACTGGAGCAAACATGCTTATCAGCGGGCGTCTGTTACTTTTCTCAGCGCTTATCAAAATTGACCAATCACAGAGCTGGTGCACACTCGATTAAGTATATAAAAAAGTATATTATAGACATTGAGACAACCGATATCCGTGTCCATTTACGATATAAATATTCAATTAAATTGCTTTAAAAAAAGATGATAAACTTTACAGCAAACATGTTTCCAGTGAAACACAAACAGTCGTAAAATCTGAATGCGTTTCAATGGTGAATAGGCTCTCTGGGCCTCCTAGCGCCCCCTAGCGGAATGATGTCGTGTCGCATTAACAGTAAGAGGGCAGTACTGTCAGCTCAGTCTGTAACAGGGAGGGTACGGGGTAGCATTATTTACTCCGAGCACAGTGTAGGGCATCAAAGAACTACATAGGGACCATCCGTGACATCGGAACGCATAGGCTACTCGTTTTACTGTGATACGGACACGGGAGATACTGACAAGGGATGAATTCTCTTCCACCCTGTGGATGCGCCCTAACCGTGTCCAATGGATCTCCACAGCATCAGCAACACGACCGCGGACAACATGTCAGGTTCGGACTTCATTTTAGAGATTGTGAGCATCAAACCCGTTGTAAACAGCAACTATACACCCGGGGGCGAGATGAACCGAAACCCCCCTGTGTTGAGTTCGGAGGGGAACTCGGTTCTCCAGGGCATCGCGGTGGCCGCGCAGGCGCTGCTCCTCCTGGCCATCTTCTTACTGTCCAGTCTGGGTAATTCAGCGGTCGTGGTGGTTATAATCAAACACAGGCAGTTGAGAACGGTCACTAACGCTTTCATCATGTCCCTCTCCCTCTCTGATTTTCTCACAGCCGTTCTTTGTTTACCCTTCTCCTTCTTGATGCTCTTCAGCAAGGATGGCAGCTGGATGTTTGGAGAGCCTTTCTGCATCGCCAACGGGTTCTTTAACACCTGTTTCGGCATTATCTCCACCTTGACCATGACTCTCATCTCATTCGACAGGTATTACGCTATCGTCAGGCAGCCGCAAGCTAAAATCGGCCGGAGGAGAGCGATCCAGCTCCTGGCGGCCGTTTGGTTCTCCGCTGTGCTCTTCTCGTTTCCTTGGTACCTGATTATGGAGACCTCCGGGCGCTTGGTGGTGCACAAACAGGGCTTTTACCATTGCATGTACGTGTTCCACTCGGGCACCTCTAGGATGGGCACCACCTACAGTATCGCTTTAATAGTAGCGTGTTACCTGCTTCCCTTCGCCCTCATGTGCTTCTGCCACTATAACATCTGTAAAACCGTTCGGCTGTCGGAGATCAGGGTGC